ACACAACACACGCACACACACACGCACACACACACACACACACGCACACACACAGACGAGCGTGTGGTTGTGCAGACCTGGTTGTCCAGCAAGAACCTGCAGCTGCGGTGCTTTCATCGTGGTGGGAATATTGAGAACGGTCGTGTACACGTGCGGTAGAATCCGGCGCGCGTCCTTGATGGGCATGTTGCTTGCCAACGCGTCCTTCAGCACAAAGCGGGCAGGGGTCGTGTTGAAGCACTCCTCAACGCGCAAGCTGTCACAGTCACACAAATGCATGCCAATGTCAAGCAAGGATGAGTACGTGCGCAACACTCCTCGGGCAAACGTCGCAAAGACACACACACACACACACATACAGAGAGTCTCTCTCTATTTCTTTCTTCCCCCCTCCCCACACCCATGCCTCCGCCCACGCACGCATGCACACGCATGCATTGGCACTGGCTCTCCACCACGACGACCACCTCTCATTCCAGCGTCTCCACACCCACCTTGCCCACAGGTCGGTGTCGTTGGCGAGGAAAACGGGGCCATCGCATGACACCATCTCCAAATCTGCGGTTGTTGGCACAGGCAAGCGCTTCCGCAGCATGTCTCGCACACCTGACAAAATGTGATGCCATGTGTGCGTGTGCGTGTGCGTGAATGTGAGTGCATGCGTGCGGGCATGCAATCACGTCAGACATCAGGGGACAAGAAGAAGATACCAGCAAAGATCAGCAGAGGCATGCATGACTTGACTGAGTGCTGTGTCTACGGGTAATGTGTGTGTGTGCCTGCTTGTGAATGTGCTTGCTTGCTTGTCATTGCGTGTGTGTTGTTGTTGTCGACGCACGCTTGCCGCGACCAGTAGAAGACCTACCTTTTGCTTCCTGCGACAATGCTTGGCGTCCAACAGCGCTGTCATCTCCGTCGTGCTGCTCTTCCTCTTCCTCATTCTTATCTTCGTCAAAGCGAAGACCTGAAGAAAGCCGAGGCGTGAGTATTGAGTGCCTGAGCTGAACATCTAACGGCAAGGAACAACAACGCTTGTGCGACATACAAAGCCACACACGCACACGCTCACACACAGACACATGCGCACCCACAGGACCACACCATTCACTCCCACATGTTACTCACCAGCTGGTACCATGTATGCGATGTTGGTGAGGACGCGCAAGAGGCTGTATGTGCACAAGCGCTTCAGGCCCTCGTCGCGCGCCTTCCTCGCTTCCTCCTGTCTCTGGTGCAGCACGCCAGCCGCCGTCACATACTGCCCAACGAAAAGACGCAGCACAGACAGGGCACAGACGCGTAAGGGGGGGGCAGAACATAAAGTGAGCCACCCAGCCATCCACAGAACTGACAACGTGAGACGGGCACACCTCGAAGCACCTGCCTCAACACATCACACCACACCAAATGTATCACCACACCACACCACACATCGCACGACACCATGTATCACATCACAACACCGCAACACGGCGTGTGCGTCACCTCTTCCAACGTGGGCCGCACAGGAACGCCTAGCTGCTGCAGGACCTGCGGCATTGTGCGGCTCGGGAGATGGCTGTAAAAAGATGCGAGGCGACGGGAGCAGGAACACATGTGCTTCAACATTAGCAAACAGAACAGCAGTAATGAGAAACAGGACACGGTACGAAACAGCGTGCCCAATGCAAAAACGCACATATGGGCACGTACACACAGACACACGTACACACAGACACACACACACTCACACACTCACACACGTACACACACACACACACAACACAACACAACACATGCCACAGCACAAAACAATACCATTGCACGCACTCTGTGAGGACGACTTTGTCCAAAACGTCTCTGAAGAGAATGCGCGCGCTCTCTCGTGGTGTTGGTGCACTATGGCGCTGAGACGGCCACACCTTCTTCGTGTGACTTGGCTCCTCCCACACACACGAGGACAGCGGCACGGGCTGCATCTTGATGGCCGTCGTGACACCGCTCGTGGCGGTGCTGCTCTTGCTGGCAGCATGCTCCTTCCTGTTTGTGCTGCTGTTGCTCTTCGTTTTGGGCTCCGTGCCACCGTGCATTGGAATGAGCAAGCACGTCGTAGACGTGTCGGTTGTGGACAGCGATTGCACAAAGGCGGCATCCGCGTCCACAAACGCCAGCGCCGCCAGGACCACATCCGCTGTGATGCGTTTGCCTGCAAGCACAGCACTCTTGGGCGATTCAGCAGCATCAGCAGCATCAGCAGTGATGGTGGTGGTGATGGCGCGCCAGGCGTCTTGTGATGTCGGTGCATCGCGAATACCAATGCGCTTGAGGTGCGCGCGTGCATCGGCGGAGGGGCGGATGTCGCCCCACGCCACGCGCCGGAACAGCGGCTTCACTGCACGATGGCCATTGAAGAAGGTGGGGGGGGGGGAGCAGGGAGTGAAATCATTGAGGGAGTGGGCATTGGGTGTTGTGGGGAGGGTTGTACGTGTGTGCGTTGTGGGTGGAAAGACCTGGCGTGGGCACAGGCGCAGGTGTGCTCAAGGGATGCAAAGCCCACAACAACATTCCCAATTGCGCCTTCCTTCCCTCCTCTCCACACACATGCACACACACACATCCACAGATACACATCTGTACACACACAAGCGCACACACACACACACACACACACACACACACATCCACAGACCATGGCCGCACCTGGGGATGTGGGTGGAAGAGACACAAACACGTCCTTCGGAGTACAGAGCTCGCCGTCAGTCGTGAGCACCCAACAATGCTCAGCCAGCGTCCTGTCATCAGAATTTCAAGGAAAGAGCAAACCAGGCAACAGGCAGTGATTGTGGTTGCGTGAGCGAAAGCGAGAGGAAAGGCGTGTTGACGTGTTCGTGTGTGTAAGCAAGTGTAAGGATGAGTGAGAGAAGTCTCACAAAGGCACAGATGAATGCTGGCATTGCCTCTCAACACAAACGCGAGACAATGAGCAATCAGTAGTCTTACGTGAAGAGTGACGACGGTGTTGTGGTTGGCAACCACTCGTCTCCGACCTGGACTTCCTTGCGCATCAGCTATTCACCAAGCAGTCGTGTCGGCAACAATGGTGAGCATGGATCCAGGCAACGTGTGCATGTGTGTGCGTGTGTGCGCGAGAGAGAGCGTGTGTTTCTGTGTGCGATGGTACCTGAACATGTTTTGTGCATGTGTGTGTGTGTGCATGTGTGTATGCATGTGCATGTGCGTTTGTGTGTATGTACATGTGCGTATGTGTGGAGGCGTGCGCAGGGATGGCGGTTGTGTTGTGAGCACCACCTTGGCGACGGCAGCAAGGTGGTTGCCAAGAAGATCCGCACAGAACAAGCGCCTCTGGTCATCACTGTCAAGCATGCATGTTCATATTCGCAGCATGGACGCGGAACGCGCGCGCATGAGCCAACAGCAGCAGCAAAATCATCAGCAAGAGATGCATGCACACAAGCAGGAGGTCACACACATGCTCAAGCACACAAACAAACAAACAAACAAACAAACAAACAAACAAACAAACAAACAAACAAACAAACAAACAAACAAACAAACAAGCACACGAACAAGCACACAAACAAATGCACCTCATGTGCGGCAGCGCTTCAGCAAGGAGTGGACAACAAACATCGCGCACCAGCACCTGAATAAGGTGGGGAGCGATGTAACGCATGGTGCAAAGGTTAGACGGTCGAATCGAAGAAAGATGCAACGTGCAGCACTTACTGGTAGGTGGCGAAGTGTCCAATGCACACAAGCGCAAACGTGTATTCACGCGCATACAAACACACACAAGCACACGAACACACACAAGCACACAAGTACACACACAAGCACACACACAAGCACACACACAAGCACATAAGCACACACACACACGCACACACGCACACATATAACTGTCCTACATGTTCAGAGTGCACGTCTTTGGCATCTCTGCCACTCTCGAGAGTGAAGGCACTGGACGGCTCCGGCGATGTGTACACATCCACAGGCACAAACTCGGTGGCACCGAGCAGCTTGAAGAAAGCATGCAGGCGTGTTTTGAGGTCGCCTGCTGGCGTTGTGTCGGCAGCGGCCGCGCGGTGAAAATACTGCGGGGAGATGCAGGGGAGGTCGAGCACGTGGTCGCACATGAAGTCATCCGTCAGGTACTCAAACACCTTCGACGGCCCGCCATCTGATTCATGCAGGCAACCGAATGATGCGAATTGTGGGTGTATGTGCGAGAGAGCGTGTGCAAGGGTCAGAGCGTGTAAGCGCAAGGATGCTTGTGCGTGTAATCGTGCGTGTGTGTGTGTCTATGTGTGTGTGTGTGTGTGTGTGCGTGAATCCACTATGTGGATACTTGTGTCGTGTTGCAGCGTGTGAGTACCTCAACAACCACAACTCCAACACAATGCATGAGCACAGGAGCAGCACCTGCGCGGAACGGGATGTGCAGCGATGAGAACGGCGGCTTGACCCGCTGCATGGAGGACTTGAGCAGCGTTGCTGCGTGGTGTCGGTGTTGTTCGGCAAACGAATGCGTGAGTGCCACATGATGGTTGAAGCAGATGAGAGCCATATGCTGCATGCATAGAGCGCGCACAAAGAGGCACACAAGCAACCACACATACAAAGGTGCACACCCACAAATTCACAACACACAGGCATGATAATTACGCATACACATGCAGAGGCAGAAACAGCAAGAGGCACGGAACAAATGTTGCGTCCCATCTTCACCTTTAGCGAGTGCAGCTGACTGCTTTTCGATGGGGATTTGGTGCTCGTGTCCAAATGCAACACAGAACACGGTCATGTCGACCAAGTCATCATCCCGCAACCGCTGCGGCGATGACCTGTGCAGTTGTGTGCAAGTGCGTGCGGGTGTGTGTGTGTGTGTGTGTGTGTGTGTGTGTGTGTGTGTGTGTGTGTGTGTGTGTGTGTGTGTGTGTGTGTGTGTGCGCGTGTGCGTGTAAGTGTGCGCGCGGATGGGAGAGGTGCCGTGTCAGTGTGCAACAAGCAGGGGTACGTACTGCGGGTCGACGAGGAGGCGGTACACTTTATCGTGCAGGAATGAGTCGCGAGCGCCCCTGCACGCACACACGTAACGTCATGGTGTGGAAGAGAGATTATGTGTCATGACGACGTGTAAAAGTACAAACATACACAGCCACACACATACACACACACACACAATATGCACGTCACATGTGCAACTCCACGTGTAAGCAGCATAGGCACGGCATTTTTCAAAATGCACAACGTACGGTTTGAGGCCATGGGATCTGAGAAGGCTGATGGCGCCTGCTTTGTTCTCGCTTTGCAATGCAGCGAGGAACGACGGAAGCACGATGCGATGATGCTGCGAAGTACACAGCATCAAACATGGAGGTGAGGTGACGGAAACGGGGCGAACAGGAATGCACGCAGCCGCAACACGACAACATGCAGGTACGAGAAACACAAGCCTGAACGACAACCACCGCCCGCACAAACATACACACACAAAAAAAACCATAAAACAAACCCGCACATACACAATTCGAACAAGCAAACAAACAAGCAAGTATACAAACAAGCGAGTAAACAAGCAAGCAAACAAACAAACAAACAGGCAAAGTATACAAACAAGCAAGTATACAAACAAACAAGCAAGCAAGCAAACAAACAAACAAGCAAGCAAACAAACAAACAAGCAAGTATACAACCAACCAAACAAACAACCAAACAAACAAACAACCAACCAAACAAACAAACAAACAAAACAAACAAACAAACAAACAAACGAACAAACAAATTGCACGTTCAACCGAGCCTATCTGACCTTCAAGAAGGGAAAGTCGTGTGCGATGGCGGTGTCCATCTCGTACATGTCGCCCCCCTGGAAGGACGCGTGGCCGCCACCAAGCAGCGGCACAAACTTGGTGCAGTTGAGGCGCTGCGTGTGCTTGAGCGACAGATGCGCACGCGTCTCATCAATGCGATTGAGGATCCATGCAAGCATCTTTGGTGACAACGGCTGCACACCGCCACTGCCGCCGTCTGCCGCTGCCTCCTTTGTGCTTCTGTGGTAGTGGGAATACAGCAGATCCACAAGCAGATCGCCACCAAGCACCTGCACCCCTGTTGTATTGCAGGAGGTTGTGGTGGTGGTTGGGTTCACCAAGTTTGGTGTCAGGAGCCAGGAGGCGTACACAATACAGCACACACACACACACACACACACACACACACACACACACACACACACACACACACACACACACAAACAAGTGCAAATGGCACATCAGTGGAGACGCGCGTCTCGACAGCAATTGTACATGCTGAACACGAGAGTGCAAACAAACGGAACACAATACAAGCACAAACCCCAACCAACATCAACAGAGCGCAACTGGCACACGAGGCAGGCGGTGCGTACCAAGGGCGCGTGCGAGCATGGGGTCGATGTGCAGTGAATCGTGCACAAACGCGAGCCTGTGCCGGTCGTGTTTGCGCAGCAGCCGAACAAACTCCTCCTTCATCTCCGCTGAGAGCGGCGGGTTTGATGGCGGCAGCACCGCGTGCTCCGGCCGCACAAACGTGCGCTCCGTGGTGGGCAGCAAGCGCACGTGTCTCAGCGCCTTGCACACCTCCTGCGGGGTGTGGCGGAACACGTCGCGCGTGTCGCCCGGCTTGGGCAGGGAGGCGATGGTGAGCTGCAGCAGATTGCGTGCCTGCATGCACGCCGTGAGCTGCTCGTCTTCATCGGACGTCGCCGATTCGTCGTCGTCATCATAGTCTTCATCGTCGTCGGCATCACTGTTGTCATCATGATCGTCGTACATGCTGCTCTCCTCATCCTCGTCGTTGACCGGTTCGTCAAAGTACTTGGTGCACAGGGACAGGACGTGTTCGCATAGGCTTTTGAACGCCGCAGGCACCTGCTTCAGCAGCCACTGGTTCCTGTGGGCGAGGGGAAGAGCAAAGGCACAAGGGGGGGGGGGAACGACATACTGTGAGGAGTGTGTGTGTGTGTGTTGTACTTCCATGACATCGTGCAAAACTTGCTTGAGCACGCAGTACGCCCTAATCACATAAACACACATACACACATACACACACCATGCAGAGCCTTCGTGGATGGCGTTCCTGCTGGACGTCAGCATCCAGTCCGCTTGTACTGATAAAGACACAGCAGTACATACAGCGGCGGTGTAAGAGGACAAACAAACTCCTTGAAAGGTGCATAAATGGTGTCATGCACGCCACTCACTTGCACATCACCATCCACACACACACACACACACACACACACACACACACACACACACACACACACACACACACACACACACACACACACATTGCACATACATGCACACTCAACCGACCGATGAGCTTGAAGCGGTAGTCCGAGACGGGGAGGAATGCAAACACATCGTAGCTCTGCAGGCGCTCCTCCTGCTTGTATCGCCGCAGTGGCAGCGCAATCACCATCTCCGTGGCCGTCACCCCCTGCCGCAGCGTCGGGTCTGGGGCGAGGTCGAGCTTACGTGTCAGCCAGTACGTGCGGTCACTGTCGGCGGTGATTTGCACGACACCCTTGGTGTTGCGGGGTGTGCGCTGCAGGGACCTTGATGCGGAGGGGAAGAGAGGGAAGGGGACAAAATGATTGGCGAAAGAGTGATGTACACTGTGAATTTACGCACGCATGCACTTACACGCACGCACTTACACGCACGCACACACGCACACGCACACACATTGTGCGCACACACACATTGTGCGCACACGCACACAGATACGCACACACACACACACACAATTACACATACAATGCAACACACACACAAGTACACACACGCACACACACACACACAAATACACATACAATGCAACACACACACACACACACAAGTACACACACACACACAAGTTAGAGATTTGTACATGTTTCCACCTCTTCTCGTTGAGGACGGTGTCCTGGAAGTCGAGCCGCTTGAGTTTGTGCAGAAACAGCAGCAGCGACGGGTCCAGCTTCTCCTTCAAGTCGTTCCTAAACTCTCGCGTCACCGCCACTCTGCCACCGCTGCCACTGTTGGTGCCGCTGTTGGTGTCTGGCTCGTCAAAGGGCAGCACAATCACGGTCTCGCGTGCGCGCCAGTTTGGCGGCGGCGCAATGGCGTGCGGCAGCACATACCCGAGCGGGTTGTTCTTCACGTCAAACCCAAAGTGGAAGTTGTTGGAGTGGATTTGCGGGCAGTGTGTCACCTTGAACACGCTCTTGAAGCCAATCCCTGTGTGTGTGTGTGTGTGTGTGTGTGTGTGTGTGTGTGTGTGTGTGTGTGTGTGTGTGTGTGTGTGTGTGTGTGTGTGTGTGTGTGTGTGGCGCGTGCGTGTGTGTGTGTGCATGAGCGTTTGTGGTGGTTGTGTGTTTTCAGTCGCAATGAAAACAGGTAAACAACACATGGTGCTCACAATTTGCTGTTATCAAGCAAACAGGAGAGCAACCACGCATGCAGGCCACCGTGCATGCAAGCAACGATGCATCATCGCGTCACCTTTGTGGCCAATGAACCGCGCCTCGCTCGCCGATTTCGTGCTGTTGCCGATGGAGCACAGCGCACGCACATTCTTCTCGCTAAATCCAACCTGCGTGCATTGTGGCGCAGCAGCAGAAGGGAGAGAGAGAGAGAGTGTGTGTGTGTGTGTGTGTGTTGGGGGGCAGGTTGACGGTGGTGGCAGTGAAGGTCGACTTGTGCAAGCTGATGTTGGGCTTGTAAACTATATAGATGTGTATCAGATGTGTATCAGGCACACAGAGAGAAACACACACACACACACACACACGCACGCACGCGCACGCACACACACAGACAGACAGACACACACACACAGACAAACCTCATTGTTGCGGAGCTCAAAGCGGTCATTGGCGATGGTGATGGAGAGGGCGGGGACGTTGGTGAGATACGTGTTGTCGTCTGCGTTCTGCACGAGCTCCATGACGAAGTGGGTAGTGGATGCGTAGAGGTCGCTGGCGAGCTTCTCCACGGACTGCTGCACGAGATGGCGCAGCTGCTGCACGGCCCGCTTCTTCTCCTCGCTGCAGATGCAAGAGCCAAAGGTTTTTGTTTGGGGGGGGGGGGCGAATGAGACATGGGAAAATGAGGTTGCAGGAAGGGAAGGGGCAAACAGACACGCAAGGGCAGCAGTGTTCCGGCAATCAGCAGTGACGATAACAACGATCAGAGCGTTCGTGCATTTCACGAAAAGCATATTGCACAACCACCAAACTACCATCAACCACACCACCACACACGCCCATCATGTGTCCAATGCGCACGTCATGCCGTCGTCAAGGCCTTCGCCGTGGTCGGCGCGAATCGCCCTGAGCACAGCGTTGCACTCGTCCTCAGGCATCTCGCGTGCAAGCACAGCATCGTGCACATCCTCCTCATTACCAATAACACCACCAGTGCCATTGGTGGTGGTGGCGGTGGCGGTGGTGACAGAGTTGCCAGTAGTGCCATCGCCATCCTGCCCCAGAAGTGTGGTGCCAGACACTGTTGGTGGCAGTGCACTGGAGGGTGTGCGGGATGCAAGTGCATCGGCAGAGGGCGCGGCGTTGCTGCCGATGCGGCTGAGGGGCGCAGACGATTGCACACGCGAGGCAGCCTGATCAGTGGCCTGAGTGAAAGGAAGTGAGGTGAGGGAAGGGTGACAGGTGTGAGGCTGTAATGTCGTGTGTTCGTGGTGGTGGGATGAGGCACATGTTGAATGCGTTCGAGAAGGCAACGGAAAGAAATGCACACACAGACAGGGACACACACACACACACACACACACACACACACACACACACACACACAGACACAGACACAGACACACACAGACACACACACATACACACAGACACAGACACACACACACACACACAGACACACAGACAAACAGCACCTGCAGTGCAGCGTTGTTCCAGTCTCTGATGCGAGCAGGGCGGCCCATCTGGCGGAGGAGGAGGCGGTGGAATGGCGTCGCGGCCGCATGCAGCAGTTTCGTATGCATCTCCGGTACAACACCGCGTGCGCCTTCAACGAGCACGTCGTAGCCAACGGGAGACAGCAGCGGTGGCGGCAGGTGGGACAGCACGGCCAGCACGTGCTCGCATATCCACGTCGCGTCTTGGCGCGACCACGCCCGTCTCAGCTGCTGCTTGAGCAGATCCGCACCAATGGCGCCACTGCTCTGCAACACGTGTACGGTGAGCGCCGCAGCAACGTCGACGGGCCGTGACTCCGGGTGAAACGCCGCGTGCACGGCCACAAACGGCACCTTCCACACCACGCCGTGCTCCACTTCCACGTACACGTGCTGTTGGCTCGCACTCAGCACGCCGTCGCCATCAAGGACGCTGTCAGCGGCGCTGGTGATGGCGCCGAGCTGTTGCGTGAGGGAGCCGAACGCGCGCGCAATGAACACGGAAAGCGAGCCGTGCTGGTGCTGGAAGACGCGACGCCAGCCGACGGCGGTGGCGATGTCACACATGCAAGGTGCCGCCTCGACCATGGCCATTGCGTCCTGCATCGTCGTGTCAAGCACGCCGCCCGCATCAGCGCCATCGTCACTGCTACTGCTGGTGGTGTTGTCGCTGGCAGCTGCTTCACCGTTGATGTCCCCGGCGCTGTCGGTGCCACCGTGAGCGGCCGTGTGGGCAAAGGCAGCGAGTGGCAGGATGGACAGTGGGGCCTTATCCAGGTCAAGCGTGTGCAGGCGGTCGAGGAAGCTGGACACCCACTTGTGGATCTCTGCGGTGGCGGGCATGAAGGAGGACGTCGGGAGGAAGGAAGAGGAGGAGTGACACGGTGTCAGGGAGACGTGATGGAGGGAGGAACAGGGGACAATGGGCAAGGAACAGTGAGAAGCCAATTGGAACGGGCTATGTACACAGCAGTGGATAAATGGTAGAGTATAGCTCACTCACACAACGCAACATGTCACAGCGCACACGCACACACACACACACACACACACACACACACACACACACACACACACGCACACACACACACATACACACAGTTTCAGATGATACGCTCCGTATGGCATACGCAAACCAACCGTGTGCTGCGTTGGATCCGGTGCAGAAATGGGCGCGCACGAGGCGTGCTGCGGTCGCTTTGGCGTCACTGCTGTTGTCTGTGACCACGCCGAGGTCGTAGAGGGAGCGGAGGAAGGCGTGGACGCTGCTCTTGTCAACACCGCCACTACCGCCGCCAATTCGTAGGGCAGCGGCAGCGGCATCTGTGTCCTCGCCAGGAACAACAGCGTCGCCAGCAGCGCCGTCAACACCAAAGCGGAATGCAACGCCAAAGTCGGCAAAGACGTCCGCAATCTCCTGCGCGGCGCTCTCGAGTACACGCAATGCGGTGGCGGTGGTGAGGGCGGTGAGGTCGCCCCCGTGCTGCTGCGTCGTGGCGGTGAGAGCCGTGGTGATGGCGGAGAACAGGAACGCCACATCTGCATCGCGCATGGATTTCTCGCGCGCCTGTGCGTGAACGGCCGCTTGGAGGTTTGGAATCAACGCGGAGAGCAGCTGGTCTTCTCCAGGGAGGCGAATTGTCTGTGTGGAGGCCGAAACCGCTACGGAGCACACGAACATTACATGGCGGCAGGGAAATGCGTGTGAGTGTGCGTGCGTGTGCGTTTGTCCGTGTGCGTACATTCGTGCTTGCGCAAGCGTGTGTGTTTGTCTATGCGTGCATGTATGCATGTCTGACCACATGTGTACACGTGTTTCGTGTTCAAGTTTGCGCGCACACAACGTCACCATTCACGAACATAACGGCTACAAAATGGACTACTGTCCAAACCAACCGTCCGATGTTTTAGTGCAGTGCCGCAGCATCTTCAACACGGGCGCTTTCATGTGCGGGCGCCTGTGCAAGCACGAGCGGAGATTGAGGTCGTTTGCGATTGCCAGACGCAAGCATGCGTGTGTACATGTGTACATACATGTACACACACACACACACAAGCATGTACATATACCCGAACACACACACACACGCACACACGCACGCATGAACATAAACGCAAACACACACAAACGCATGTATACACACACAAACGCATGTTCACAACACATGCACGCGCCACTCACAGGTTGGTGGCAATGTCTACTGCACTTGTGCCGACATCAGCGATGCAGCCGACATCAAACTGGTGCACCAGCCCGTCCTCCACCGCCGCCAGCGCCCCGAGGATCGTCGTGTCCACGGCAACGCGCTCGGCGATGGCGGTGATGGCGCCAACCTGCAACTTTTTCTTCATGCTACCGGGAACCAGCAGTGCAGGGCGCTTGCGCTTGCCTTTGTCCTTTGACTTGGCTTTGCTCTTCTTGCCGGGCTTGCTGCTCACAGCGTTGCCGTGTGTCTCTTCATCATCGTCCACTTCACCAGCATCACGCGTGTCGCTGTCGCCGCTTTCGCCGTCACGATTGCCCGCGGTGTCGTCGTCATCGTCACCACCATCGTCGTCATCATCGCCCGCATCGCCCTCAATCATGTTCTTCTTCCTGAGAGCGGCAGTGATCTCTGCGACCGTTCTCCCTTCCAGCAGCTGGAGCGTCACCCACGTGAGCGATGCCGTGTAATCTCCAATCGCCTCCGCCACCGTCGGCACCGTCGCGTCCATCTTGTCCTCGGACACGGCGCCTTTGTTCGTCACCGGCAGACACAGCAGTGCCATCGCCGCGTTGGCGCGGAACCCAGGATCCCGCCTGAATCGTGTGTGGTTATGTGTTGTGTGTGATGTATGTGTTGTGTGATGTACGTGTGAAAGTGGAAGCGTACACATGAAAATATTTGCCACGTGTGTGTATGTTTGCGTGTGTGTTTGCACATGTGGGAAGTTGAGGGAGTGCAAGCAAACAGGAGCCACATAACCATGCAACTTCAGTATGACGCATCAGGTTCATGTTCAATACGTACACGAGCAGCTTTGTCACGGAGCTGAACACACGAAGAGCCTTGAGTGGCTGGTACTTGTAGTGTGAACGCCCAGGCACTTGGTCTGAACGTGTAATCATGATGACGAAAATTGAGAAGACAGTGAGTGCACGTGACCTGGAGCATGCGCTCACACACACACACACACACACACAACACACACACACACACACACACACACACACACACACACAAGCACAATGGACCTGCGATGCGGTGGAAGCGGTTGCTGATGGTGTTGTGTTGGAGGGCATCTGTCCAGCGACGAATTCCGCTGTACATGTGCAAAAGAGGCAAGTGCAGGAAACGTGCACACATGTGATCAGGAGAAGGGGGAGCGCGTGGTTAAGTTGCGCGATGTTGATGGGTGCGAGGAATGAGTTGCGACCGAAAGAGATGGAGAGCTAAGCTAGCAAAGACCAGAACAAACAAATCAAAGATTGCTCATACCTAAAAATAACAGCATTCACACACACACACACACACACACACACACACACACACACACACACACACACACACACACACACACACACACACACACGAAGCACAGTTGAACGCACAGTTGAACGCACCGCATCCTGTTCCACAGCACGCGGCAGAAGGTGTTTGCGTGGATCTTGACCCCCAAGTGATGGATGTCGCGAATGGGACGGAGCTCTCGCGGCACTTCAGGCTTCTCTTTCTTCTTCATTTTTGCTTTGCGCCCACGCCGCCGTGCCCCCTCCTCCTCCTCCTCCTCATCATCTTCATCATCATCGTCATCGTCATCGTCATCATCATCATCATCTTCATCGTCGTCGGGTTGGCTGTCACTCTGTTCGCTGTCAGTGGTGAACCAGGAGCCATCGCTGTCGCTGTCGCTGTCCATGAATTCCGGCAGTCCCGCCGCCTTGCGCAGTCCGCGCCGGCGTTTGTTTTCCTCCTGCATCAGCTTCTCCAACGCATCCTCCGCAATCTGTAGGCGGGGATTTCGTGGTGCGTGTGTGTGTGTGTGTGTGTGTGTGTGTGTGTGTGTGTGTGTGTGTGTGTGTGTGTGTGTGTGTGTGTGTGTGTGTGTGTGTGTGTACAGAATGAGCCTGAGTGCTTCCGCACTGAGAACATCATGATCATCAAGATACCCACCACTCTCTCACCCCACCAACCAACCGACCGACCAACCAACAGACGTGTACACACCTCTTGCACGTCGGCGTTTGTGGGCTTGTTGTCGCTTGAAAACGTGGCGGCGTTCTGTGTCAGCTGCTTCAAGACGCGCTGATACGTGAACTTGGGCATCTGCAGGGCGTGTTGGGGGGGGGGGGAGGGAGGGGAGGGGAGGGTATGTGGACTGAGGGTATTCCTTTGACAATCTCGATGCACGCGGATGACGGCCCAGGAACACGAAACACAACACAAGCTTCGAGCACACACACACACACATACACACACACGCGCGCATACACATACACACACACACACCTCGACATCCGGTGGAACAGCAAAGATGCTGCGCACAATGTGGAGGTCTTGGAAGCGACAGAGGCCCGTGATGTCCTCAAAGGCGGGCAGCGGCTCCGTGTCGTTCTTCCGTCGCGTCAGAAACATGACCACGTGCCGCTCCAGCTCGTGCACCGTCACCACGACCAGGTACTCCGACAGCATGTAGATGAGGCTGGGAATTGAACACAGTGCACAGCCGTAAGTTGGAATGTGGGATGGACAGTTGGCAGGGAGGCAAACCACATCGAACGAATGAACAGCACCGTGTTGAACCGTCACTTTCTCGGGAACAAACAAGCAAACAAACACTCACAGAGGCCACGCTTGCAACCACACACACACACACACACACACACACACACACACACACACACACACACACACACACACAAAGACGATGCTCTCACAAGAACACACAAACACGTGCGCACCTGCAAATGGTCTTGTAGCGGTCAAACAAGTTGCGCAGGAGGCCTTCGAATTTCGGGTGGTAGGTGCTCAGCTGCTTTATGTTCCGCTTCAGCTCAGGCAAGTCAGG